AGCTGCTGAGTGCAGTACCTCGCTAATCTCCTAACTAGAAACAAAAGGCTTCATTTTAAGATGATATGTCAGTTCTTCCTCCAAAAAGGCATTAGACTGAGTTTTAAGCCCCATGATACACTTATTGAGGAGACCTGTTGCTTTCCGATTCCCATTCTACAAAGGAAAAAAAATCGACACCACAACAGTAGATAAAAGGGCAATGTACCTCAGTTATACACTTTTGATTGTAAAAAGCCGTCACCTCATATACAATGACATATGGTCCGATCATCCTATGTAACAACAGGGTAGAGGGGTGATAAAGGCAATATTCCAGTTTTCAAACGTGGTGCCCAAAATCAGAACCCAAGCCGAGGTTTTGTAGAAATGTTTTCCCGCCTCAAGCTTGGGTATTCACATATTCCCCTTGATCTCAGCTACAGCTTTGATAAGCAAATTCCTCCAGTGGAGAAAAAAACCCATCCACAATATCAGACACTTAAAACTTTGTCACTCTATCATTTATCATTGCCACATTAAAAAAAAAGCTGGGGTGCTTTGTCTGCATATAGCTGAGCATCTCAGCACAGTGAAGGCTTCAAGTTCCTGCTCGGGATGTGTAGAACTCACTTCTCAAGTGAACCTGTTTTTTGTGCCATTGTCCAGGTTTCTTGTTTGAAAAAGGGATGGCATTTATTCAGTTGGTAAAATAATCCACCAACCCATAATAATGCTCCTCTCACAGCTTCTGGAAGAAAGCCCAATATACACATACTTACTGCTATGAAAGCTTTTCTGCAGTCACTGGCAAAAGTATTTGGGAGGGGTTTCAAAACACTCATACCAACAAGAGGCATATGCCTGATTTTTGTTTACATAGCTCAGGCTGTATAGAGCAGCTATCACGTAAAGGAATGGTAAAAGTTACATATTAGAAAACAAAGTGATGGCAAAGAAATTCTAAAGTGGCTTCGCTAATGGGAACCAGGTGGCTAATGTCAGTCCTTCCAGTTGTTAGACAACACCTAAAAGAAGAGAATTGGATCCAAATGCCAAAAAATACCCCACGCTTCACACCTCCACCCACACAGCTCCACAGGCACAGAAAAAACATCTTTTCTCCTGGAAGTGTTTCTGCCCGAATCTCTTAATCCGGTGAGGCACAAACCTGCTCCATTACCGGTGGCCGACGACTAGAAGGGCCGAGCGCCGATGAGAAAACTCACGCTCCGCAATCCCTTAACTGCAGTTGTCCACACATCAGCAGCTTTTTCGCGGAGAGGTGCCCTTGCCATACTGGCGTGAAGCATGAGACCCGTTTAATTGCATATCTGATTTTTGGCAGCAGTCGATGTTGGCTGCTGCCAAAGAAATCTTAAACCCTCCATGACACATGCTACAGGGCAACAAGATGTTATGGAGGAAGATTATTTTATCTTCCTCCAAAGATGATCAGGGCGCAACATGTTTGCGAGCGGATAGGATAAACAACATACTTGAACATGTGTTTTTCTGTGCAAGCGCCGAGGCCTGGAGTTTCCAAAGTTCAAACGATCTGAGCGCCCACCTTAAGGCACTTAAGAAGAACTAGATTATCAAATTTTCTCAGCATTGAACATCGTCCAGCTGGCCCCTACAAAAACGAATGCCCATGGAAATCTAGAGGCAAACAGTTTCACAAATTTGAAAAATGGCCTGCTCTGCTAATGCCACAGAATATTTATTTTCGTTTTTTGTGAGGTGGGCTGGCATGTTTTTGAATCCCGTTGTTAAATTGAGGTTTTGCCCCTCCTTGTTTTTGTATTACGGCAGAGAGTACTCAGGTAAGTTTTTCCTCACTGCCACTACCTTCCTGTGTTAGTTCTAGATTTCACCAATCCTGTTTTTCATCTTTTACAAAATTCTACAATCCATTTTGTCTTTTATATGTTTATACATATATATATGTATACACACACAGACATACACACACATACACATATATTTCCCATTTTTGCATTATCTTTCTCATAAGGAAACCAAAATATATGCTATATTCAAAGCAGTGCTCGTTTTTCAAATAGCATTATATTTTCTGCCCCCGTACCATGACCAAGGGATTTGTTTGCTTTTTTCTTTAATACAACTGCATGCTGAGTGGAAACTGCCACTGAAATATCTACATTCTTCATAGGAGGCTGCAGCTCATTCCCACCATCCAGACGCAAGAGTAGTGAATATTGTTCCTGACAGGGTTATTACTTTGTACTTAGGATGCTGAAAGATTTAGAAAAATTATTCTAATTTCAATGTTTGTTCATATGGTACAATAGTACTGCTCATCTTTCCTTACTTTACTTCCACAAGCAACACCACATTCTGCCGTTAATCCACTGTGACAGGGCTGTTCTGCTGCCCATGTTGATAGCATCTGTACGAAAGGAGGAACAGATGATCAAACCACACATAAACCAACTCCAGGGCTGAAATTAAGGATAGTCCTCCCAATGAAACTTTAAAGGTCTGGAAATAGTTGACATTTTTATAATGTATTGCTGATAAGAGAAAAATCCCACAAAAGCTTCTCAGTTCAAGAGCATACTAAGGAATGCAGAAAGTCATAATATACCATCCTTTTAGAGTAGCCATAAATGATCCAGCTGCTGAGAACTGAGGTACAAAAGTAGAACTTTTTCTGCCTAAATATTCTTCAGTTTAGGAAATTCTACCTCCAACTTACCCAGATGCTGCAGACAACTAGAGCAGGGTGAATAATAGATTTTCAGTGTGATGATAGTTCTAAAAAATAATTATGAAAAAAAAAACAGTTTGTGGATGAAGCACAACATTTTGTTCAGTCTGAACCTTTTGGCTTTGAGCCTTCTGAAAATTTCAAAATGAACCTGCAGGATTTTGAAATAGAGTTGTGGCAAATCGGAAGATGTTGAAGGGAGAGTTTCAGCTGCTTTGAAGTTTCTGCTTTTTTTTTCTTCCCCCCTTTTTTGCACATGAACAATGTGACTAAACTGACATTTCAGTTTCACAAAGTGACATTTTCTTTCCAAGAAAACTTTTGGCCAACCAAATGTCATCTCTTTGCACAGATACAAAGGGAAAGCTCTCCAATTTGTCTCCCTTGAGAATGGCTCCAACATACCCTCAAAAGTAAGTATGAGATGTGAAATCCAAAACCCATAACTTTGTGCATGCAGTGGAAGTGAAGTAATGAAGACAGTTTTATGCTTGCAGGAACCTCTGACTACTGGTATCCACTTACCGAGCCTGAGGTGGAGCCCTGGGCCAGTCAGCCCCCCGTGCTGCGGAAAGCAAGGAAAGCCAGGATCATGGGTCCCCGTGGGGCAGGGAGAGCCCCCCAGACCCACATCTTTGTGGGCAATCTTGCCCCTGTTGGCCAGACGTGGCCTGGTCTGGGGGAGGCAGCTGGCTACCGGCACAGCCCCCGGTGGGCACGTCGCTGCTCGGCGCACCCCGAACAACTCTGCTGCTGCCGTTGCACTTCGCTGGTGGCATCTCCTGCAACGTCCTTCTCAGACGTAACAGTCCTGAAAGCAGCCAGTGACTCTATTTAAAACTAAAGAGGAAAGTGCAAAGCTTTGAAGTCAGAAGGCATATAATGAATTCCGCAAAACTTTGTATTTCAAAGCAGGCTCTATTTGCAGAAGCCATCTGCCCAGAGAAAAGCTCTAATGTGCACCTCTGACAGGAGCCTAAAGAGTTGAGGGAAACAGATCCAGCTGAGGATGTGTCGCATCATCCATTCCCACAATATCTGAAATGTCACTTTGTAGTGGAGCAGCTTCCGTCCTTATATCAATTACAACATTTACATTCGGCTCCCCTGAGGTTGCTGACATTTGTAGCAACTGTCCAGCCCAGTAGCTCCCAGCAATTTCTAATGAGATATGCCAATAAGACATCACTGACTGTCCCTCCTAATGATGACTGTGAGCTCTCTGGAGCTTTCCCTTAAGCTATTGTCTTACTTATCCCCTTATTGAGGATTATTGATCTTCCTCTCTCCCCTTGCCAGCACTCAGCTTTAAAGCCATGTAATGAGCCACAAATCCAGAGATGCTCCATCCAGGAGGACATGGGGCAGTGCGCTGTGCAGCTCTTTCATAGGAAAGGAGCACGGTCCGTTAGCAACGCTAATGATGCCGGCAGCTCATACTCCAAATACAAATCCCCCACCTCTGCAGAAGCAGCAAGGGAGGCCGCTTCTCCCCACACCAGGCTCCCCAGAGCATCCATCGGCCAAACCCGTTTGCAGTGCGTAACTAGGGCTCACTTTTCTGCAGCAAGGCAGAAAGAGACATCGTGTAAAACTCAGAACCAGTCTGTTTAAGAATTCCCTCTGATATCGCTAGTCTTTCATACAGCCCATAAGAGCCATTAAAATTCTGTCTGATAACTAGCTTCCCAAAAGCATATGAGTTAGGCAATGCTGCATCAGTGACAGACTCACCAAAATTTCTCCTGGCTTAAAGCAGACCCTTAAAGAAGCCTGGAAGTAGCCTGTGAAGCAAACCTGCATTGTAGACTTTGAAGATTACTCTCTGCATCACAAGGAAGTGGAGGAGAGCAGAGGTTAGTCCTTTGGGAAAAGGCTGGAAACCTTTATGAGAAAGCTGGCAGAAGCCAATAACCAGAAGACCCAAATGTCGCACGCACGCTGGTGTGAGCAGAGCCTGGAGCTGCAGAGGTGCTGCAGGCCCAGCCAGCGGGAAACGCTCCCCTGTGTTTCTCCTCAGCCTTGCTGTCAGGGTTTATGGACCTTGTAGGAGCACCACCATCTTGGAGAGTTGCGGGTGACACTAGCGGAGTCAAAAGTTACTGAGGAGAAGAGGGTGGGCATAAACAGGTGGAGACAGACAGATAACATGACTGTGTAAGCCCCGTTTTATTAGGGATCAAATTAGAAAGTTTCCTCTTATTCCTGAAATCATTATTATTATAATAAGTTATAATAATAATAAATAATAATAATTCCTCAGCCTTCTTGTAAGGTTCACTGGAGACAGCCCATTGCAAATGCATATGGTTCCCACTACTACGGTATTTGACCTCATCACAATCTTTAATGGATTTTGCTTTAAAATATTCGTGCCATATACAGAGGAATTACTGTATTGTTTTACATGTGGAAAACCAAGACCGAAAGAGAATTGGCGTATGTGTGCCCTACCAGTACCCACACGCTTCACATATTCTGTGAACCTGGCACAGACAAATAGCTATTCCTTCACCCACGCTGGTTTGGCTGGGAAGTAGCAGCCCTTGCTCACCCACACCCACATTCATGCCCGGCCAGCGCTCAGGCACCGGGGGGAAAGCAGCCCCAGCACCCTGCAGCAGCACCGCATGCAGCCCTTCGAGGCGGAGTCTGTAGCCCATCTAGGGAGGAAAGTGAGATATTTTTCCTTGGTGGCCTTGACACAGAAGTCTTTAGCCCACCGTTGCGTGCGGTTTTTGTCAGTTCAACGCATTGCTTGTTTTTCTGAGCCTGTAGCTGTGGGTGAGTGCAGAGACGCAGGTCCTCAAGCCGCGGCAGCTATTCAGAGGGACGCTTCAGAGCCCCTGGGCCACGCAGATGCGTGCAAAGGTCCAAGACACAGGTGTTACCCTGCGACAGAAAGGAGGTTGCGGGCACTGGATCACAGCCCAATCTCTGACCTTGCAGCGGGCTCAGGAGAGGAAGAAACGCCAAGCTTTCGCACAGCCGCCCTGCCCTCCATCAGGCTCTGTCCGCACAAAGCTCTTGAGATCAGGGCCTCCTCACTGCCTGCACAGCCATAGGATTTCACTCTCAAAGGTTTTTCTGGTAGTCTCAGAACAGCTGCTGTAAAGGAAAGAACAGTGTCTCTCTGTGACAATTCTATATAATAATGTAAAACATTAAACCCAGTGGTACTCAGAGAAGAAAATTCGAAGAGGGTCCTCCCATTAATACTTCCCGAATCAGCATCATAACAGGAACCCAGAGCTCGTCTGAGCCGCGTGCCACCTTCCCTAGCTGGTGTCTGCCAGGGCAAATACGCACGGGGACAATCCCCTCTGAAACGCTGAACCTCAGCTGCCTCTCACCGCTGCCCAGCCGCCACTTCCACCCTGCCGCTGCACCTCCCAGGAGCTGGTAGAAAACTTACACTGCTGCTACTGAGGCTCATAATTGCAAACAGAAGAGGCTACTTAACGCAGTATAACCCTATCCTTTTAAACTTTTGGACAGTTTAATTCCTTTTTTATTGATTTTGGTTCTGGGAGGGCTAATTTACAACCTGGGAGCCCTCCTCCGGCAAGTTACCTCCTTCCCGCTTTCAGCCCAGCTGCCATCTTCAGAGGCACGGTGCAGCCAGCCAGACTGCGGGATGCACCCATCTATTCACCAGCCTCCCGGCTATTCTACCCCTTCTTTTTTAAACAGCAGTATTACATGTAATATGGGGTCCTTCCAAATGGAGGGATTTTTGGTTTTTGTTTTGTTTTTGTCTCAGTCACAAACCGAAATGGCTAGCGGTGCAGGCTGCTGCGTAAGTCGGCATTGCTAGTGATTCGTGCATTGCAGGCTAGTGCATTGCTAGGTGCTGGTGCACAGTGTTAGGCACTGGATGTTACCTAGGAAGAGATGGGTTTTGGCATCAGAAATATATATGGCAAGACAGGCAGAGGATGGGAGAGCGAACAGGAGCACCAAAAGGAGAGACAGCTCCCACAGCTGCAACTCCTAGATCAATATTCTGACCCCGGACTGTGGCTGCAGCGGCAGGGGACACTCTCCCCAGGGCAACGTTGCCTCACCAGGCAGCCCAAAATGTAGGATGTCAAATGCAGAGCATTTGCTCCCAAGACGTTTTGGGCATATACACCAACTAATCGAGCAATTAAAACAGCAACAGCTGAACCATCTATATTCCAGCTATATACAACTGACTTGCTAATGCCTACCAGTAGTACCTACATGTTGGCTTTTTGAAATTAGACTAATTTCTTTATCAGGCAAAGAGGAGGAGAAGGAGGTCAATAAAGACAAGCTTAGCATAGGCTCTGTACTGATAAGAAGGTTATTTTGGGCTCTTAGTTCTTCCCTGTTTCGGGAAGGCTGAGCAAGTAAAAGCAGGGCTCAAGTTCAATGCAATCTAGCATTAAAATGGCGTTCCACTTTGAAAAGTGACTGCGATAAAGCAGCATCTTCTCACTGAGAGGATGTGCTCCCAGCATGGATCAGGGTCGTATCAGCTGATTTTAATGACAGAAAATGAGCTTGTGACATATTACTTGTGTTATCATTGCAGAGTTAACATGGCCAAGAGATAATTAATGAAAAATGTGTGGTCGAGTCTCCTGTGCTGGTCTAAATGTCTCAAGCTCTAATTCTTACCACTGGCTCTTGTAAAATAAACTGCACTCCTGATACAGCTCAGAAATCAAAACACAGTGCTATCTAAAATAAATGTTCCACTTTAGGAAATGGCCTTCTGATAAAGTGATTTTAAAATTAAGAATGTTCTAAATAAGTGTCTGGCTTCAAGTGCCGATACTCTATTCAGTGCTGTGCTATATTCTCTTTGATTTCCTTGCCATGGCTCAGGGCTTTATGTTGCTGGTGACTCTTGCTGACGCATTTTGATGCATTCAGCACAACCACACGCTAGCATGAACCAGAGATCACCATATTTCTGGCTGTAGAGCTAGAGTAAACATGGACCTGTGCCCAGACAGTATTGGCGGTGGCTGGAAAAACCAAGATTGCGAGTCTAACAAGAGACCTGGGAAAAAGCCGCTCCACTGAAAGCGTGGTGCTATAGCAATTCTGCCATCGTGCAGCGTACTAAAGGCTTTCAAGCAGCCCATTTTTGGTGGCGGGAGCTGGCACCGCTCTACCCGTTCCCCTGGCGCCTTCCTACTCTTCACATTCGCAGCCTCCCTGTGTGGCCTCATCCCGCCGTGTCTCACTTTCTCCCCTTAAAATGACTGACCTTCCTTACCTCCCGGGGCGGCAGGGGGGGAGGATTAAAAACAGCAACAAGCACACAGGGTGAAGTTATTACAACCATCAGCCCAGACCGACTGTCGGCTGTAACACGCAGGCTGCTACCACGCACAGTCGTGAGAGCGCTGCCGGCAGCCGCCCTGCCTGATGGGCCATGCAGCATGGTCCCCCCGCGTCTGGAGGCACCTGAACTGCATACAGCCCCTTCTCTGACTCGGAGAGAGAAAAGAAATCTCTTACAGCAGCTTCCAAGGAAAACAGGCAAAGGAAACTCTCCTACCCTGGGCATGCTGGAGGAATTGGAGATTGTCCCCACCGTGTGGGGGCTCGTGCCCCGCTCTGTGACAGCCTCCTGATGGGAAGTAGCTGAGAAGCCGTGCTGGGAGCCTCTGCTCCTCCCTCCTTGACAAAAGCAAAAATAAGGTGTGGAAAGATGCTGTCAAACCCTACACCACATTACTTCTTGCCTCAAGTGCTCCCTTGCCTCAAACCACCCTAAAAGGAAGTGCAGTATAAACAAACTAGCGGGATCTATTCCAGACGCCTGCTGCGGTGCATCGTGAGATCAACAGATTAACTCTGAAAAGCCCACTAATTTTAAGGAGGACTCTGTACTTAAGCTGGAAGAAGTTTGAGCGTCAGGCGCTGGGGAACAAGGAAAACCTGCTAACAGCAGACTCTGTGGTTACTTGAGAAAATTATTTGACCCCGCTTTTTAAAGGACCTTTGATTAAAATATTGTATGGGTTGGTAATACTTTGCTCTTAGTCTTTTGGAATATGCATTTGCAATGGTTTGTTTTTCACGGGTTTTTGACTCCCAGTCAGAGAAATGGGTGCTCTGCTCCTCCTGCAACTCCAGCTAAGCAGGGCTGGGCCAAATAAGACGATGTAAGAACACTTATGGGCAAAACTGCCTATCGAAAGCAGGAGGCCCTTTTTCAGTTTGAACATAATGTAGTGCCCGCAACCAAGCATTAGAGTACTGCTTGATAAAACCAGGAGATGAAACCAACGGCTCAAAGTTATTTAAGCGCCGCCTAAAACTAAAGGGCCTGAGACAGAAACCCCCTTCCCATGTCAGCCCACGCAACAGAAAGGAGTGAAAGCAGGGGAGTGAATGCTAGAGAAAGCTCAGAGCAAAGGGCAGGGATAAACCTGCTGAAATAAATAGGATTGGTGCTGTGCCTTGCATACAGATCCTGGACTCTAGCAGACTTCCTCTAAGAACAAGTTTCACAACCAAAGATCCTTCAGTCAGAGAGTCCTGCCACTGCGACTGAGAGATGAGAGCAGTCTGCCTACAGCCAGCCACATCTTCCCAGCACAGGGAAGGAAGAGCTGCATATTCCTCCACTGACGCCACATCTGTTTTATTTGTTTACACGGTTTCAGCCGTGCTATGGTTGTACGTTCACTGAGCTCGGCATAGATCAGCAATGACAATACATATGCTTTCACAGCCAGCTGCTCCCATGACTGCTCCACTTTCCCAGTTGAAAACACAATATACTTCCCTTATTTTAGTATAAAAGAGCAGTCACAAACAAATGTTGTGGAAATCTGGCCATGAAACAGTACGTATAGCAAAAACTAGCCCTGGAGCAATTGGATGTTTGGGCACATTTCCCACTTTTTCCTCCAAACGCTTTGCCCCGCTTTGGTCATGCTAAGCAGCCAGCAGGTTGGTGTAACTGGATCACTGGGAATTCCCCAGATATAGCACAGAGACCCAGCTGGTAGAGGTCTCCTGTGGTTGCTCTATAACAACAACGCTTTGCTCCAGGGCAGGCAGCATGGCTGGAGAAAAAAGGGACATGTCTAGCGCGCACTTCATGTCTATTTCTGCCGTCCAGCTGCACCAGCCAGCAGCCGCAGAAAAGGCAGTGCAACATGACTTGCAGGCACCAAAGCCTCAGAAACGAGGGCCCCGACTCAGGCGTTCATCTGCTCTCACCTCATTCTTGGTCAGCCCCGCAGAGAGTGCCCGCCTGGGAGAACCATCTTGATTAAAAAAAACCCTGAAAACGAAGTGGCCAGCAAATCAGGAGTCCGGAGTTCTTGCCTTTTCCCAGCAGCCCAGGGCAGATCTCCTTTGAAGCTGGCTGTTCTTATTTTCCCCATGGTCTTGACAACAATTGTCCATGCACAGACTGTTTAGTTAAGGTAGGCTATTGCTCTCATTTCATCCCATCACTATCTTTCACCTTTATTTCACATGAAGAAGATACGTATTCAATTTCACTTGCCCAGTGATTTTGTGTGACCAGCTACATCTAATTATCTTAGACATAGGCCTATGAATGATTCATTAAGATCTGTATCAGCTGCTTTTGAATGTGTCCTGCTAATTAAAACTTTGTGATAAAGAGAGCTACAGCTTTCTGGAATTATGCCTCTGGACAGTGCAATGCACTTCCAGCTAGTATTTGCAATCCTGGGTATGTGTGTGTGTGTTCACATTTGAAGCTGGCTAGAGAAATATAGGTTAGCTGCTGCTTTTAATTGCTCTTCGTTACTACGATTACTGAAGAATTTCATAGCGCAAAATCCTGGGACTCTTCTGCATAGCGCACATTGCAAGCACCGTTAGCCGATGATGAATGTACATTGCATTATCCTTTTGCACACATGAAAACCTTGTGAAAAACAAAAAAAAGACTCTTTCACCTCGAAGAAATGCGTCCTTTGGATATTGCTCATTTGGAAAAAAAGAAAAAAAAAAAGGATGGTGGACCAGAGACATGTCTGAGGAAATCCAGCATATTGTACTCTACTAGACCATATTCTGCACTTCTTGCTCAAGCCAGAATCCCTGTTCAGCTCACTGTACGCTTCTCTCGAGTAAGATCCACAAGACCTGAGGTCACTGTAAGCTGGATCCAGCTTCCATTAGGGCCAATAGGAATCACAGAATGGTTTAGGTTGGAAGGGACCTTTGGAGATCATCTAGTCCAACCTCCCTGCTCAAAGAAGAAGTATAGTGAGTCAGAAAGCACATTAGGCCTTGTTTTATTGGTCAAAAAAGGAGTCATACTGAATTTACATCCGTGTAACTAAGTAGTAACTAACTCAGTTTGTCTCCAGTATTTTCCCTCAAAATGTCTTTGGCTGCAAAGGGAATATGCCTACATATGAAACAGGTAGAGACTTTAAGATGTTTTCTTGAGGTGGCTATCACTGTAATGAAGCATCAATAATAGATGATAAATGCAAAGTAAAAGAAGCTTTTCCTAAGCAGCTTATGCTAAGTATATAAATCTTTTCCCACTAGCAAAAGACTATGTTAAATGTAGTCCTGCTAATCTAGGCAGCAGCCCGGTATCAGAGGTAGTATAAACATATGATAGATCAGCTTGGTGGCTCTTCCACTGCAAGTTCTGCTTGGTCAGTCTCAATGGGAGACTACTGCCCTTGTGTCAACATTTGGTGTCTCCTGGGAAGTTGCTAGCTCACTCCTGTCATCATCAGAGCAGGGCATGTTTGACTCATAGGAATGACTCAGGTATAACTTGTTGGCTCTTGCTAGCCACAGAGCATTGCCTAAACCCTGAAGTCTGCATCTCATGGGAGTGAAGCACTAATCTATTTTAATCTCTGGTTAGTTTCTTACAAATACTAATTTTGGAAAGACACAGCGTAACTACGGAATGGCCTCTCCATCAAATGCATCTGAGCCACTGAAGGTGACCTGGTACAGTCCATACCACCATGGCCAGTACCAGTAACTCACAGAAGTAAGGGAAGCATGAAGTAAATTCCGTACCTATCCTAAAGGCTTTCTTCTCCACACCATCTCTTTCCACGTTCTCATATCCAGCCTCGTTCAAATGGTACCATGTCCTTGGAATCTACTGCAGGGCAGAGCTAGAATGCAATGGGAGGAGAAAGTCTTTTAAGTATTACTTTGCATCTGTTAACAAGGTTTTGACTAGCTGACCTTGTGCGAATAATAATGTAAATATAGCATCTAAAAACCTGGCGATATAAAACAGGCTGTTTCTTAGACAAAAAATTAATGAAGCCCAGTTTCCTAATGATTTGGGTCTCCGATCATCTTATGGTTGCTCCTCTATTAGTTTTAAGTTACTCTCATGATATAGTAGATGTGACTACTCCTTACTCACTCTTGTCTCAACCATTCTTTGACACGTAGTGAGGTCTGAAGAGTTAAACTCTTTTTAATGAGGCCCCATGATAAGAGCCTTCATAACATTGCTCTATGTGAATTCCCTGATGATTACTAAGAGGTGCATTCATAGTATAGCCTTCTCCTCTACAGGAGTATTTCACAGAGTTTCTCTATCCAGTGGTCTACTTTAATTAAACTGATAGGAACTTAACTACATTTGAGACTCCTGCTGATACTTTATCAAATATGATTCAGATTGGTCAGACTCAAATAGGGAGGTACAGACCAAGCAGGTGTTTAAGTCTCAGGTCTCCCGTGAGAACATACAACATTCACAAAGCAGGACTGAGCCCTGCGTGTGACAGCTCCAGCCTGCAATGGCCGTGGCAACACCAGCATATTACTAGCTGAGGCACCTTTTAGAGAAGGACTCTGGGCTTAGAAGAGAGACAAAGGAGAAAATGTACATCTGTTGCTCAGCAAGCACCACTGTCGCTCTGTCTTTGAGGAATTCAGGATATAGCAGTAGGAAGACTAGATTTTTAAACTGAATTTAAACTAGGACTTTAAACTAGGTCCATTTACTTGCAGTATAAAAACAAGCATACAAGTGCCCCAAGGGTCTTATGGCCATGACAAATGTGGTCCTTCCTTTGCATGTTATCTTTATGTCTCAGGCAACTTTATTCTTCTCTAGGAGCAGCTTACAAAGTGATCCCATTGAGCACTACTTCCCGGGTAGCACGTGAATTCAGGCACCAGGCACCCAAGAAAGCGCTCCTCTGTATTTGGCTGAGTCCTATTTCTGCAAACTGTTGGTAGGGCTACCTCAGCGGAGTGCCCAGGATAGGCAAAAAGAGGTAACGTTACCAAAGTGTTGGAAAACACAGCTTATGCCAGTCCTGGTTCACACTTGAGCAGTATCATAGAGCAGTGGATGCTAGTGCCTGACTGCCAAGCGTGGGCAAGGCTCAGTGTTACCTGTAGACATTGATGTGTAGCTGGGGAGTACAGAGATGGAGTACAAACGGGATGTGCTGGTATCTGAACCTATCAACCTTTCTTTTGGCATGATATTGAACTGAAGCCTTTATTTAAATGGACAAGGAGGAGGCAAGTCCGTCTGCTGCCTCACACAGACCCCATATTAGCACTAGAGCGGTGTGCAGCTTGGGCAGGGGACAAGAAAAACATGAAAGCCCACATACTGTGCCCCTCACATGGCTGAAAACAGCATTGCTACAACTCAAGACTGTCGCACTTTTGTGCTTGCTTATTCTTTGGCTGCAGTAGCAATTGCTGTAAATGGCACAAACACCCATTATAAAATGTATTTTGCTGAATAGCAGAGACACTCTAGCAAAGCAAACACTATTTCTCGCTTGCCCTGTGGCCTTTGGATGACACCATCATGACATTCTCCTCTTAAAGCAGGTGACTACAGGCATTGATTTATGGTAGGAAATGAAGTATTATCTCCCTGGAAAAGACATGGAAATAGAGACAGAGCAGAATTAGATGTCTTGCCCAAGGACCACAAGGGGAACAGGATCAAACCCAGGATGAGGATGCAGCAGCTCTAACAACAGGCTACGAGCTCTGGGCTTGCATAGAGGCTAGCACAAATGAGTTCCTAATCCCTGTCAGAGACCCAACCCAGCAGGCACCGCCTATCTCACAGAAAAGATTAGCTGCAAGATTGTAAACAATAGCTGCAGTCGTCGCTATGCCCATTACGCAACCATTTTTATGCTGAATATACAGAAATACCTGAGAAAATTAGACATTTTGCTGAGACCATAAGTAATGAGGATTCTCTTTCTTCAGCCCAAAGGATAATCCATCAATGTCATTACACACCATTCCTAACTCTGAATCAACCAGATTTAGCAAGGACTGGAACTCGTGTTCCCACCATGAGGAAATAAAGACGAGTTACTTAAATGATGACCCTATGAAGCGTTCAGACTGTGGCTATCTTCTCCCATGAATAGATCCCACTTGGTTTCATCAGAAACATGTTTCTGTGACAAGCCAGAATGTGTGGGAGAGGCAAGGGGCATGCAGGAGACTCAGCAGAAATTATAAAAATTAGCAATGCTCAGTGAGAATGGAAAACAGGAGATCAAAAATAGATGCCTTTTCTTCCGTTAAAAAGGATACTACCAGTCTAGAATTTAATTCCAGGAGAGCCATATTTGAGAGCTGGCACCTAGGAGAGAGTCAGAATTGCTTCAGTTACCTAACCCAAGAAGAACTGAGCTGAGAGTAGCTTGGCTCAGCCAGCAGCAGCCATATTGCAGAGTACATTCAATCTAGTCACTGAGCAGTTTCATTGAACCTGAGTTTCATCATTCTCCTCCCAACAGAGCTCCATAAACCATTCTCTATGTCGAGGTAGAGGACATACGTATTAAATACTACTATTCACTTAGGGACAGTTCAAGTTATACTTCGAGTTAGTGATCAAGAAAAAAAACCCTTCTTTTTATTAATTTCTTTCAGTGTCCAACCTTTTTATAATTGGTGATGTTTTCCTGTATTTTGTTTCTAACTTCTTTAAATTTCCATAAGAAAAACAGGGTATACAATACAGGGAACAAAAAATGGCCGATCTGGATACATTGCTAGAGGAAACAAAAAACCACGCTCTCGGAATGAAGGGCTATTGCTAACTTAGTCAACAAATCTAAAGAAAATCTGGGGGAGTAAGGTGCACTGATTTTGTTATCTTTCCGAGGCTGTGATCTCAAAATGTTTAGGGCTTTTTCTGAGACACTCACTCTTCATCAGTTCCAAATAACAGTATGTTCTGTATATGTTCCTCTAATTAACAGTAATAACAAAGAAATAATAATGACAATAAATAATTAATAATGATACAATCATTATAAAAGGATCCTTGCCTACCTGCTATAAATCATTACAGCGGCTGTCTGTGACCAGCACTTGATTCCTTCTGGTAGGACTGACTCCTCTTTTATTGGCCAGGCAGGGCACTTATTCCAACGCGGCGCAAGTCAAAGGACTTTTGCTGTTGACTTCAGCAGCAGCAGGATGGGGGCAAAAGGGAGCTCAATGAAAGAGAATTCAGTGTGAGCGTCACGGGGCCTTTCAAAGAGTCCTTTAGACTTTGCGCGACAGGCAGCGGTGGAGCCGACCGCAGTAATGAGCACTTTGTTCGTCTGTGTAGCTGAGGTCATGCTTGCCCGCCACGCTCACAGCAGTTGGGCTATTGCCTCGCACTGCCTTCCTGGGTAGCCTGTCGTACACGGATCAGCCCATGAATTATGAGGAAGATAGTAAAGTAGACGAGCATTGCAAAGGCTTTAGAAGAAAGGGGAGACAGTGACGCTCTCTCTGGGAAAATTCTCCTCAGAGAGAAACCAGTTTTACTCATGGGATTAGGTATTAACCTGCAAACTCTGTTTACAGAGTTTATAACATGCTGAAATGAATATCCTGTTTTGAGGAATGATTCAATTTACCCTTCTCTTGAAGCTCAGGTTTTCATCTTGCCCATATTCTCAGAAAACAACCCTCACATAGATGTCTAGTCCTGGTGGGTTTCTAATCATGGGGGTTGGGAATGGGAGAGGGGTATGCAGAGCTCAGGACTATTATTTATTTAAAATAAGCTTACCTTTTGCAGAATGGAGAAAACAACTGGAGAAATATTGGCTCTACGTGGTCCAAGTCAAAACTTACTTCTTTTAATCCAGTGCAAAGACTCCCATTGGCTTCAAGTAAGGCTGAAGCATGTGCAAGAACAACAAAGAGGCAAGCAAGAACAATAAAAGAAAACATTAGGGCAGTTCATAAAGATCTGGAAGTAGTATGCCTGAAACAAGAAGAGTAATTCAATGTGACATAAATATCTAACAGACATACAGACCATTTTCATAAACAGAACAGCAATGGAATGATAAAGGAATGTTCTCATGAACTGTGAGATTTAGAAATTATTTTTGTTCCTTCCATACTAGGCCTAACTATGATCTAGTCACATATGATAGCAGAGAGGTTGCCTCTTACCTGTAGTGCTGTCCCTGTCACAAAGTGCAACTTTGACCATACTTCTGAATATTGGAGCATCCTAAAATTCATTTATTTTCTAGAGAGCACAGAATAGAAAGCTGTAACTGGCTGAACATCCTTTATCCTCTCCCTTTTCCTGCATCTTATTTCCAAGTAGGAAGTAGCTTGGATTTTTTTCTATTACTGGAGCAGCTTTGTAATGCGGAAAACCAAACCAATCCATATCTGTTCAGTGAAGGTGAGGAAATCTTTAGAAACAAAACAGGGAAGAGAAAAACGTTAGCTCCTATCATAAAACTGCTCAAAGTCAAGGAATATGAACTAAGATTCCAGAAGACAGTCCTTGATCAGAGCATGAGGACAAGACAAACCCCAAGGTTTGGCCAAGTCACCGCGTGAAGAAATTCCCTCCTATCCTAAACATGGTCAGAGATTCAGCAGGGAGTCTGGAAGTAAATATTGTTAGGGATGATCTAGCTTGTTTTTATTCAGGCATGATATCTAGACAGAAAAAAGGATAATTTTGGTTTTTGATCTTGACTTTCAGTAATTATGCGAGGCATCTCCCACAGCCAAAAATTCCAAACACTTGTTAACCTTTTAGGGTAAAAGCCAGACTTTCAGTGTGTTTGATCTAAATTCAGTTATTTTTTAGTTTCCAGGAGCAGCCTTTTATCTTCTTGTTGCTGCTTAGCTCACATAGATCCCTGCAAAAGGTCCTGACGATCTCTTGAAGACATGTCAAATCCTATGCAAAGGTCTAAGGTCCACCGGGGGTTAACACACGTAAGCTGTGAAAACATGTTTCTGTAGGCGTGAACAGCTATGTAGCAATCTTGAAGCTGAAGTAGTTTCATGTTCAAGGAATGTTTTGTGGTTCTGGATGGAGTCATGTTGCTCTTTTAATTTCCATCCTCGGGGTATCCTTCTGGGAGGGAGGGCAGTGTGGGGCCAGTACCAGATGCACCTCATGGGAAGGTGCTGAGCACGCTGGATCCCAGGGAGTGCCACAGAGGTTGAGGATGTCTAACACTGCAAAGGATCTGGTCTGTAAAATGCTTTTCACCATCACTGGCCAAAATAATTAAGAATTAAAAATTCAGATGATATCTTGCTTATGTGCTGATATCTGACATGTCCAGGCACTTTGTGATAAGCCCTTATAATGATCACATCATAAACTGATTCTAGTCTGATTTGGCAAGCGTTCTCAATGATCCCCGCTTCTGATCAGAAGTGGTTTTTTTTTTTTTTGGCTGAATGCTGCATCTCCTCTCCAGTTCAGTAGTCACACTGCAGTAACAAACAGCAGACCGAACAGAATACTAAACCTGGTCATTTAGTGGTACATGGCTCAAACCACCTTCAGTGGCAACAGCCTTCCGCTTCCCACCTCTCTGGACTCACCCTTGACAACAGACAAAGGGAGAATTTCTGGAAACATCAGGTGTTATGGGAGCACATGAACAGTGACTGGTGTCAGAAATCCAGCCTCCATAATCGCAAGCTGAAAAACTGTTTTGCTAGATTAAGCATCAAGTTGAAACCCCAAATAAAAACAAGGCAGCACCTTCTATCTTGCTGCTGTTCAGTGTGCAGCCTGACACAGTGCTATTTTGCACAGCAAAGCCTTTCCCAAACCAAAGCTATTTTAGGATATATTTAAAGGGAGACAGTCCAAAACAGCATTTTGGGGTAAAGCACCACAGACATGTTGCAAATATCCAGAAACTAAGCATTAGACATTCAGAACGAAAGACGTACTCAGAAATAATGCAAGCCTGTTTGAGCGTGGGAATACATGTGCAGAACAGTCAAACCAGCTTGCCTCTGCTTTAAGATGAGATACAATAACATGACTGCATAGCTTCAGTCAAGACACTGTCACGTTTTTTTACCCTAGATTAGATTAAAGACATTAAATTTTCCTCTCTCATTGTGCCACATCTCTCATCTTCTCAGGGATCATGAGGGAGGACTGTTCAAACTAGACCTTTTTCTGTGGTCATAGTCACGCTCCCCTGCGTATCACAGGTGGGAAGGAAAGCAGGGCTCATTTATTGACCACGGTAAGGAGTCTTGTTGTTTGCTGCTCCTGCCAATTTACCTTGTGCTGTTGGAATTTCAGCAATTTCACAAGAAATCTGTGCGGTCACAGGAATTGCACAATTCCTGTGGATTTTCCTAGTCTGTGCCTCTTCCATCCCCAGCATCCTTTCTCCCTTACCCTGGTAGTTTTGCAGGGATTTGTAGGGAAGAGCTAGGACGACCTGATGAGATCTGCTTTCTGGCAGAAAGCACCACAGTTTGGCAAGACATGAGTGTCATGGTGCCTGTCAAGAGGGGGACTGCTCCAATCCGTTACCACTCCAAAGTGTTCAGCTACTGACTTTTGCCTAGAGACTGTAAAAAGAGGGCAGGAACTAAAAATACAATCATTTAGATGGGATCAGAGTGTTACAGACTGGTTATCTTATAGAAAATTTGAGGTTTAAGGTATGAAAAGGATAAATGCAGAGCCTGAAGATTAGCCAGTAAGACGGAAAAAAAGCTTTACCTTACAGTATATATTTGCAACATGCTACTTGATTTGACAGGCCTTCTTCCCTCTTCCCCTGTTCTATTGCCTGACCTAGTGTATAAATATTTTTCTGATTAAAGCAAAGAACAGATATTCTGGTGCAGGGCAAGGAGAGACTGAACTCTGAATGAGTCCTCGGGAGTGCGAGTGGGTAAAAGTGCAAGTCTGTTTCCTCTAATCTTTTATTCTATTCTTGATCACCATTTTAAGGCCTCCTTACTTTAGGAGAAAAAAATGTGAGAGAACCCTGCTCTTTGTGTTCGCTTGTTGTTACAACATTTGTATGCCTATTATCTGGAAACTCTGAGTAAATGTTTTTCTTTGCACTTACTAGAGTCTAATTGGTGTTAAAGGTGATTTTAGAACAACTGGCAAAGCAGGCACTCCATCCAGGCTGCAGCCATTCAGTGCCCCCTGCCTCTTACTTCTCACCAAGGTCTCCCCAGGGAAACCCCTCCCTGAACTTGTGGCAAACAGATATCCATGGGAAAACACATCCTCTGATGACTACATTAGTTCCTTGACCAGCAGTAGCGTGAGAAGAGGAAGGAGAGGGTAACAGCAGTACCTGAATTGCAAAAGCGCATGTAGGACTATCTTTTCTCAAATCCTCCATGCATCCTGCAGCAAAAGCCCCTTAAAACCAGGCCTGTTGGAAGAGACATAGCTCCCTTGTTCTGTTTGCTGCAGTGTCTTCTAACCAAACGCATGCACACACTGAGCCTCTGTCCTTCCTGGTGTGTTCACTAGTCGCCAAATCTGCTGGAGGTTGGAGGGGGAAGGAATAGAGAGAGAAGATGCTGACCATGCATCTGTAACAGTGATGTGGTTCGTATCCGTGACACTGAACTTCCTCACTACATATCCAGTTAGCCTCCTGTGAGATTTCTGTGTCCTCTTAGGACAATGTCCAATTTCAGCTCAACTTCTTTGTTTTGATTTTGCAAATCAGTGGGATTTAAGGTGTGGGAATACTGCAAACCTTGTCAGCTCCAAATGGTGTCCAGCATCTTTCTGCGTCGCTATACCGCTGGGCTCAGCCATAGGACTAATCCTTCCCAACGTACAGGTTTCTCCGGTCATTTTTCCCCTGTTCAGATAGGGAGACACACAAAGTTGAGTGTTTCATCCAGAATTATATGTCAGTACACAAAGACAAAGCACAAGAAATTATATTTACTTAATCTGTATTCAGGGATTCGTGTATTCCCGCTTACTCCTATGCTGTCCCTCAAGTCTGCCTTGGTGCTTCCAAGGCTATGAACAGTGTTCAGATTTTGTACGTAGTCTTGATCTCTCAAGCATGTTTCCTGACTAGCGTCATGTGATGTAGGACCTCCAGCCCCGAAGGTGCCAAGTCCTTGATGTTCGTATACAGTTTAACTATCCAGGAGCCATGATGTAAGATTGTAAAGTCTTTTTAAAAACTCTTCTTACATATACCAGTTGTCTCGTAAATCACAGCCAGGAGGCATG